CCCGGTGGCAAACTTGTCTACCACCACCTCAAGAAACTCCCCACCCAGCCCAAGTGTGGTGACTGCGGGGTTGGGTTGCCTGGTGTACGTCGCCCATAGTTGCAAGGTTATCTGAGGTGCTCATTTTGTACCTTGGGGTGGAAAAATAGATCCCTGCACTCCGTCCACGCCAATATGCTACTATTTCGAAACGCCAAAAGACTGTTCGCCGGGCGTACGGTGGTTCACGGTGCGGTGACTGTGTGAAGTCACGGTACGTCAATTCCGTTCCTTTCCCTCCCCCTTCCTCCCTAACCAATCTGCCCACTTCCGCCCAGCATCCTCCGGGCATTCTTGGTCGAGGAGGCAAAGATCGTGAAGAAGGTCATCAAAAGCCAGACAACCCCTGGCCGGAAGTAAATAAATCGCTGGCGGACGGCACTCAGGGGAGGGTGGAGGCTGGTTGCTTTACGGCTATCGACATGCTTTTTTTACATTTTATCAACTTCTATTGCATCTCATGTAACGGTCACAGCAAAACCATTGACCGAGGAGGTCAGTATGCCTATTGCTTCCTTCGCTCTTCTCTTCGTGAAACGAAATGAGTTCACTACCAGTGTGGTGTGGGAAAGATTGTGGTGAGAGGGTACTGAATGATTTTATTTCAGACACATACGTCGTGATACGGTAAAAGTTAGCTTAAAGCAGGATCATATATTATCAAGAAAAAAAGTCCCGTCAAAGGTGCAAGAAGTCGTCAACGACTGTCCACAACCCCAAGACTCTCATACTCTGGGCGAAGCAACGTCTCTCTCCTCCGCCCAATGTGTCGGCATCGGCACGCTCGGTCCATCATAGTCTGAGAAAGGATCATCTTCCTTTGAGTCCTTGGTTTCGCCATACGAAAAGTACGACCCGCGTTTATAGTCCGGTGGCTTGCCATCGAACGGAGGTGCCCCTGCTGGAGGTTCGTAGGCCGGCGCATAGGCAGTGGCATCGTAGGGTGGGCTGTAGTGCGTGGGGTAGCCGTCCATCCGTACTTGATTCGAGGGTGCACGGGAGGCATTGATAGGGCTGGTGGGGTCGAGTGTCTGGCGGTAGTAGGCGAATGCCATGGATGTAAAGATGAGTCCAAAGACTGGTCGAAAATGAATGATCAGGACTGCGCTGCATTGCGAGATAGAACGCCACTTACCTATCTCGATCAAAAGGACGAGGATTTCAGCCCACGAGTCGTTATTCCACTGATCATTGCAATCTGCCAGGTGTCAGAGGGACTCAGTAGTAACAGGTCAACTACAAACAACTTACATTCCGTAGCTTGGCTTGCATTGAGAGAAGATGACGGGTTTGAACCCCAGATTCCGAAAACCTGGAAGTTGTCAAGGATGTCAGCCACAGCTAACAAGGTGGGTTGAACAAAGACGGACAGAGTCAATGCTACCGTTCTGTGCACCAGTTTCGCACTCTGAGATCAAATCGGACTACCGAAGTGGTGAGCATCATGATCGGCACTCGGTATATGCTGACAGTCTATATACCTTGAATGTGAAATGGGTAACAACTCGCATGAATCCGACTGCTATTATGAGCAGTGTACTCATTACACACAAGAATGCATATAACTTCACGAGGGTGAATCGTTGCTGGATAGCCACGGTGGATCAGGATCTACGGTTTGAGGACGAGGTGGCAGTAAAACGTACCGTTACGGCGGCAGTTATACCGAATATTTGGAAGCCGCATGCAACTGCATACATCACGCCCTGCGCTATGGCCAACGGAGTGAGCTTTGGAAAGTTGTCTGAGCGTGACGTGTCAGCCGACGGTTCTTTGTGATCGCCGCATTAAGGCGTACCATTTTCATCAAGCGTGAGGCCTTTAAACGATGAAATCTAGAGATTTCGATCAGGATGTAAAACGACATGAGTCACAAGTTCCTCGACGCACGATCCTGGAAAGAGAGCCGAAACTGAGTGTTCTGCACTGGTCAGGTCGCATTGACGTGGACATACCATGCTAAAGCCCAGAAAGCCGTGATGGCAGACACTACACGTCATTATCAGTACACCATCATGAGTCCAAGTAATACTACGCACTTATAAGAATGACAGGCCGCAAACTTCGCCCATAGTACCTTGTAATATATCGATACGCAGGCGGGGCGCCTGTAGCCAATACACAGACGGAGTGTCAGTCATTAACTTCACAAATTGCCAGGAAAGATGCTCACCAGTTGGTGGTGCTCTTCTGGTGGTCATAGTTTGGTGTACAGGTCGTTTACAGTCCGTGAAAGAGTCGTGAAAGGGAGGGGTAATTTGTGAAGAAGGGATGAGATGAGGGTTACTGAGTAGTTATGCTCAGATGCAGGCTGTCATGCAGCTGCGGGAAGGACAGCATGATGTTCCCACGCCATCACTGCTCTGTTATTGCCAGTGGCAGTGTTGTCCTTGTGTTATGCTTACGTGCTGTTCTTTATCCTCGCTCGCCTGTTGCAACGAGTAAAAGCGTTCACCATCTACCGAATTGTGGCTCAGATCAAGCAAATCAGCCACGGCCATCCTGCATCCTAGTATTTTCCAAGAAAGCCGGAGGAAGTTACCAACAGTCAATCCAAGTCTGCGCCGAAACTATTGTATATGAAGCAGCTATGATATGGGATCTTAAATGGACTCTGGATCTAGTCAAAATGACCAGATGTTAATATTGCTCCAGGCAACGGACCCACCGACATACGCTGATCACATTGCAAAAATCCCGATGATTTTGAACGATGAGACTGCTTGCCCTTCTTCGCCCAATAACACACACTCGACATAGTGATTCCCCCGTGTGACATAATGGTCGATAATCTCGAGGCTGCAGGGTAAAAGATACCATGTTAAGAGTGCCAGTATAAATGCTGAGATCGCTGCAAACCACGTACGTTGGTACTGGGCTGCTAACATCCCCTGCATTCTCGATGATAACAGACCCTCCGAAGTTATCATCCACCCAACATTCAATCTGACTACCCTCCTCCACATCTCTTATGGGCTCTTTCAAGTAATATATCCCCACATCCCCAGAGCCCACCTTGATCGGCACACGAAACTTACTAAGAGGCATCGAACTATGCCAGTAATATCCAGTTGTCAACAACGGTGATAATCCTTGTGGGTGTACCGCGCTCCATCCCGAGCCATAGAACAAGGATGGCGGTACAGGGTTCACGAGGTCATTCGCAGAGGCGCAGAATGGTGTCGGTTCTTCGAACGACCTCGATGACTGTGGGCGGGTGTTGATACGTACAGGCGGAATGCGGAGCTCGGGGTAGATAGGGACGAGATGTGAACCAAGGACAGGCGCTTGTGCGGGCTTCCTGCCAGCGTTCTCGCCAGCAGCCTTGGGAGGTTCAGGGGCAGCACCGCCTTTCCGAGCACCAACACCGCCAAATAGGTGGGTATCTCCGCCGGGATTGTAACCGGGGGCAAGCATGATAGGTATCGTCTCGTAGGAATGACCACCGGCTGTTGACCATGCGGCACATATTTGAGACTGGAAATAAGAGATGAGGACGTCCGCGAGGAGTGCGTGCCCTTCGGGATTGGCAAGGACGGCGTCGGCGTAGTAGGGCTTGATGAGCTCGGGGTCAGTCATGTATGAAGGATAGAGGACGGGTTTTACGCTGGGGGCATGTAAACTGTTACAGCCTTCATTGCAGAAGTTGGAAGGCCTACCTGATGTGAGGGACGTCATAGAATTGTGCGACTATGTTGTGCCAGTGATCTGGTCCAGCAAAACCATATATAGTGTGGATCTCGGGGCTGAAATGGCCCAGGATGATAACAGCAGGCTGATCCGGTCGGTCCAGCAGCGAGCGAACCAGGAGCTCAAAGTTCTCCATACCGCGTTGGTCACTGGACGCGAGAGTATGTCACGAATGAGCAAACTCATGATCCAAAAATGCTACAGTTAGGAGGCTCACCCTGAATCATCGACGTCGAATTCTAATATCACCAGGTCGGTGTTCTCTGGTACATGGTGGGCACTGCAGAAAGCAAAGTACCCGGAGTTGGTTCGACGCATGGCTCCATTGGTGAGCTCGGAAGCTGGATGAGGGAATACGCTCGACCACCATTGGAAGAAAAAAGAAGGATAACATTTTGGAGACAATGGATCATCACCGGCACCATGACAAGCCGACACTGGTCAGGTAACGGGAATTAGTCCAATGAAAACGACGTTGCGGTACTATTCCGACAAAGAAAGGCTCACCTGAACCACCTAAAACACTCATAGTAACAGGCTGACCGAGCAACGCCTTGTGTATCACTCGATGTACCCGCCCACCACTCCCTAGATGCAGCCGACTCTGAGCGAGCGCCATTACCCCGTACATCTCCGCAATATCATCCCGCGGCCCAAACACTGGACAAAAATCAAATGGGTTTCCAGCAACCTCTCCTCCTTCTGAGCTGTTGGTCTCAAAATAGTTGGCCTCGTGGAGGTAGTTTTTTGGCACCAGTCCAACGGTGCTGAATGGCTGTAATGGTTGATGGTATGAGGGAAGAACATAGCGTGTCAGCGCGACAATGGACACAAAGGCAAGTAGGATGGCCCATATTCGATTAGGTACGCCGAGCGAGTGCCGGTACCATCGTGAGCGGGTCGATGGGTCGATGACCATCCCAGTTAGACGGTGCTGGGATGGAGGGGAAATACGTGCCAACCCCTTTGCCAGGCCAGAACGTCGCTGCATGTACTACTCAAAAAGTAGGAAGAAGCAGGTGGGACACTCTTGCTCACTGCTGATTGCGAGGCTTTGAAGGTCGAATGGAAGATAAAACGGAAGGCCGGCCAAGCGGAGCAAAAGCCTAAATGTAATTTGTACTTGATGTTGGCATCTCACGAACGTCTTGAAACAAACACTTTTCTTGCATTTTGACAAGGCAGTCTAGATTCTACAGTAGTACAGTCTGCAGTCTCTCCATCTCTCGAGTGTATGATTGCAAACCATGGCGTAACAAAACGAAAAAAACTGGACTCTGTGGGAGTTGAACCCACGACCTCATGCAGTCCCGAATGCGAAGCATGCGCGCTACCAACTGTGCCAAAAGCCCCATGACATACATGACACCTAATGCAATTTGGCAACACACGGCTGGTCGACTTCACTTTACTAATAGGGCCAGTGCCTGGGCTAATGTCACTGGTCAGACGCTCGTAAGTTATCTCATCGCTCGGTCCTAGTTCTCACAATATCGTCTAGGTATACCGTTCGTGTCACCACATTTTGGGACATGACTGGTGCCATGACAGCTCTCCAAGTTTATGATCATCCTATGGCTGGGTACCGATATTGCGAGACTGTCGCACGCGCGGTAGCCGTATTTCACGTAGTATGCACAGGTTAGAGTCGCCAGTTCGTCTAAGCGCCGATGATTGCCATTACCCATGGGGTAATTATAATCACGGGCAAATACTGGCTTCGGGGGCCTACTAAAGGACGTCTGGCGCTCATTCTACTCCCTCTCCCTTGTCTAGTTTCCCCCGTCGGTAGATAAACACCTCTCATTCCCAACAACCATGTCTCAGCTGGTGACACCGCAACAACTCAAGGGTCACCTGGCGCTTCTTCATGCTTTCCATACATTGAGGGAGACAGTCCAAGTTGGCAATGACGATCGATTCCCTGAAAGTGTGCGACTCCTTGATTCTGACCGGCGGTGGACGTGGTTTGTCTCTCTCGCCGTAGAAAGGTTTGACGCAAGCCTTATCCGTGAGCAAATATTGAATTTGTGCCAAGATTCGAACGATGGTGTCTTACCATCGAAGAGTCGGATACGGAATGGCGGGGTCTGCCACCGATAGACGTTGCCATGGTCTGGCATGCGTATCTTCTAAACCCAAGGTAGGAACGAACGGCCTATAGTGAAGTTTGCTCTGAGGACAATACTATGTAGCTGGTACGCGGAAGATACAGTCAGAATATCCAAGTTGAAGGCGCTTGCCAAATACAACAAAGGGTTTGCGATCTGTCTCGTAGGTTACATCCCCTGAACTTGCTCGGGTGCGCTGATTTAGTCTCTGTTGCTTAGGACTTTCCTAATATCTTAACTACCGAGGTCCCTCGTCAAGATCGTGTGGAGACATGGAGGCAACGCACAGGAACTCCGTATCACCCGTTCGACGCAGCTGCAGTCCTCACCCACAAGCATGTAGGATGTCCTCAGTGCTCGAAAGTCATCTTAGCAGGTTTGTTTTGAAATTTCTAACCGTTGTCACGACCTCTTATTCGTTTGTTTTAGCCTTCGTCGACCCAAATGGTATGGGGTACGCACAAGGCAACTTCAAGGTCTTGTGCATGTGCGGTTTTGAGATCACGAAGCCGGCACTCGGTCTACACAAGTTCGTCAAAAACCTCGTGGAAAAGAATATGCCTGATGCCTATCTCGCGTACGCATATATGTCCTCGCTCAATAAACGATTACCACTGACTGTCGCTGTCCAGCGGATCTCTCCACACCCCTCGTGATGCTAATCACACCACGAGGGCTGGCCTCATTAAAAGCGCGATCCTGCAAGCAAAGCCACTTTCGCGTATTGCTGGGGGATCAACCGAACAAATAATGGAGAAGATGCAGTACGACAGGAAAAAGCTGCATACGGCACTCTCAGAGTCCGTCAAGGGAAATCAGTCTGTCTTTCAGCCGTTCTTTAGGACTGTCTGCTCACATGCCTCACCTCAGTATCGGGAGAGTTTTAGGGGCTTACACGGATGATAGGATTTTTTCCATTGACCTTATTGGCGCTGTGAGTGCTGACGAGAGCTGGAAGTGTTTGATGGAAATGCTTACTACGTGCAGGTTTTACGACAAGCATCTTTTGTTGCGAAGATGGCCGATCTTGGGTGGACCCAGCCTGGTTTCTTCGATTCAGCGGAAGATGCAATTGTCTTGCAGCACTGCATAGCGAGGTATCAAGCGTACGTGTATGCAACGTTCCTCTGCGGTGACTTTTACGGATCATGGAAATGTCCAGTTTCCTTGGGTTGATGAAGGAATCACAAGGCTCGTTATTTGTGCCTACGTTGGACATTGACCTGGCATGGCACACCCATCAGTTGATGGCCCGTCGTTACCAGCAAGACTGCTTTCAAGTGGTAGGACACTTTGTGAATCAGTACGTGTTTGTTCGATCGACAAACTACCACCAGTCCTAAGTTCCGCTTTCGCAGCGATGATAAGGTAGAGGAAGATCATCTTGCGACCTCTTTCGACGTGACATGTCGTGTTTGGAAAGTCGGTAGACCTAGCTCATTTATTCATGTTAGAATTGCTGACGGTCATCAGGAACGATATGGCCTTCCGTACATGTATTGCGGCTGTCCGCTTCCTGACGAAAGCATAGGCCAGCGACTGCGTCGCACCCTTGGATCCACTCATAACAACGGGGATTTCTTGCTTGCCCCTTCTGATGCAATGTCGCGGGCAGCTACCCATCCCAGCGATCATAACGCCGTATTTGCGATGCACCGACGAGTCCAAAGCTTCCGCGCCCGGGAAAAGCGGATGACCGCACTGACAGAACGCGCTCAAGAAACTTCCCAATACACAGGGGAAAATACCCCACGTTATACGCAGACCACATCCGGCTCGAGGAACGATGCGGACGGTAGGCTCCAACGCCAGGCGATAGTCTCAGCGTTCGCACACGCACCGGCATTCTTGCATGCGATCCCGATGTGCCACCATCAACATCGTCATCACGAGCAGAGCAGCGTTGCGTCGTCGGGCGGCATCTTGTTTGGAGGAAATTGTACGATGGTACGTGGCTTGCCCACATGTGGTTATGGGGGCAAACATGATATCTTTTTTTGCGAAAGGCTGGCGACACAAGTCCCTGCAGCGGTGCGGGTTGCGCGGGTTGTGCGGGTTGTGCGGGTTGCGGTAGCACAAGCACTTACACCACGGCGGCGGCTTGTGGTGGTTGCGGGAGTGGTTGCGGGAGTGGTTGCGGGGGATGCGGAGGTGGTTGCGGAGGTGGTTGCGGAAGTGGTTGCGGCAGCAATTAGTACAAGGTATGAATATCAAACCACTGGCGACTGGTGAGCGGAGAAGTCGCATGAATATTTTGGTGTAAGAAGTAACAATTGTTGTACTGGCTCGATTGTTCCGTCTATCTAGGAGAAGACTACAGATGATATGTACTTTTAGTTGTATATAAAAACCAGGTAACCAGTGCTTTGTGGCTATTCGATTTGCCAGGACTCCCAGCAAGTAACAGGATCCGAGCTCAAAGCCTGGCCTTCGTAGATGCAATCCTAAATCTCACTATAATTGAATGTCCAAGCAGTGGATCCGGTATAGGACAATGTGAAGATCAAAGCCAAGCTACATTTATGGTCCGTCCATAGTCCTGTGATGCTTCACAGTTACCGCCTGTACGCTCTGCGACCGATTCGGCATCGGCTCCCAGATAGGATCGACATCGGGACCTTCAATGTCCCCGGCTCCGTCCCAACCCCAGCACCACACTGCATTCAGAGGTCGTCAGTACGAAATTTCAAAGACATGCCGGGAGGGGGTCACTCACCATGCGAAGGCCCAGGTACGAACTCTATCTCCTCACTTTCCTCCGGGGTGAAGAGTCTGTCGTGGGGCCCAAACCACGACCGGTCTTGAGGATCCGTCCGTGGATTGTCAGGAAGCCCCCCCAGACGAGCATACCCCCGTATAGCGGTAAGATTCCGCCTCGAGGGATGTATTATATCGAAGACATCCTACATAGCCAATTCTCAGTAAGTAACCCCACCTGTCAACACATACTATCTTGAGATTATTTCATCTCTCGCTCACCTTGTCATATGCCAACTTCACCCTAGGCACCATGAGTATCCGGCCATACCCAGCCTCCCAGTAGTCATTGCAGATCAAACTACACTCGGATGCCGAACATTCGTTGTCTGTCAGTCTTGCCATTCGGAAGCTGACGTATGGAGGTGTGTAGAACGGTGCGGGATCTAGCACTGCGATGCCATTCCAGCACGATTGGACCTGTATGGGGAGGTGCATCTGGAAGCGGTCGGAAGCGTAGGGGTCGTGAAAGATGGCCTCAAATGGTGCATTTTCGAGTGCAGTACCGTTGATGTCACGGGCTACCCAGTTGTCGTAGAAGACAGGCGAACCCTGGCAATCACACCGCTGGTCAGACCAAAATAACCACTTGCAACGACAAAGAAAAAACTCACAAGATCTTCATGGTACATATAATCTGCAGCACACGTGATACCCGCATTATTCCTCCTGCTCTGCCAGATGAGCTCGAGGAGGTCATCCACACAAGGTAAGACGTCGTTCATGAATATGATGGTGTCAAAGTACTCATTGTGCGAGTCTCTGAGCTCGTGCAGCGGGTTAAACGCCTGGTTCCGAACCTCCGCGAGGTACTCGATACGATGGTTGAAAGCCCCTCTCGTCCGCGTTGACGTCCGTATCGTCACCCTCAACCCAACACTCTTCGTCAACGCATCAAATATCCGAAGGAGCGCCTTCGTCTGGTCGGTTGATCCATTCTCATATATCGATACATACACATTGTGGTACCCCAATATCGCCGAGACCCGAAAAAGCGTCGCGAACAAGTCAGGGATGACATCAAACGAGTTCCACAGGTTTATGGCAAAGAAATATTTGTGTTCCTTTGCCGGGGTGTTGTGCACGTGTTGGGCGTCTCCGAAGCTGCCTAGCCCGATCGAGGATAGCCAGGAGGACTGGGCTGGAGCTTTGTACCCTACAAGAGGCTTATAGCGCTCTCGGACTTGCTGGACGTAGAGAGGTTGGGAAACACGGGTGCATTCGGTGGTATGGTGTGGAGAGAGCGTGGAGAGGAGTTCGAACACCCGACGGCGCTGGTCGGTGTTTGGTAGAGTAAACTGTTTCCGCGCGGACAATCGTGAGACGAATATAGGTCTATCTGCCCATGACGATGCAAGGAACTGTCTCAAAGCTGTGGCTAAGCTGGAGAAATGCTTATAACACAAAAGTGAACACATACGCCGGAGGGCAATAATCGACCGATTAGCAGCCCAAGTAACAATCCCACCAGAAGCGTTAATAGT